CACTAACAGACAATTTTAAAAAAAATCATAAAACAGTATTAGGTTTTTTTTTTCTTCTAACAGACAATTTTTTTTCGGGGTAGGGACGCATTTAAAATCCCCTCCTCCTAAAAGAAATTCTGGACAGTATATATCGTGTAATGTTAAAATAAAAAAAAAACACTAATAGCTAGCAAAAAACAGCATTAAAAATAGCTTTACATTTTAATGGCCTATTGAGACTTGATTACGTTAAAGGTCGATGTGACTTAGCGAGCAGATGTTTGATATGAGGTTAAGAGACGCTAGCAACAGTTATTGACCAGAAGGATGGCAAATGTCCTATAATAGATGGCATATGTCCTACAAGAGACGACCAATGTCATACATCAATTAACCAATGTCCTTTAACAAATACTCAATGTCCTACAAGAGATGCCTGATGTCTTACTTTAGATACCCAACGTCACACAAAAGTTGCCCAATGTCCTACATAAGATGACCAATGTCCTATGACAAAGTACAATGTCCTAAATAAGATGCCCAATGACCTACAACAAATACCCAACGCCCTACAAGAGATGACCAACTTACATGTTATCCTCACCGTCAGAGCTGGATTCGATGGTCCTTTCTTCATCTTCCTAAGCTTACAACGTTCTCCATTCTACTCCAAAAAGAAACAAACACTGCACCAACAATGGAATCCTTTCCTCACAAACCACAAATCAACACGCTTTGTTTTCACCTACAACAGTACCTAAATTTTCCATAGCGTTGATTGCAAACAAGGCCAGTAGAATGTGTCACCATATCCTGAATACCTGGCCAGGGATTATGAATACCTGGATGGGGGAAACACTGAAATGGATACCCGCAATGTCGGATCACTGACACAACAAGAGAGAACACATGGACGTGGTTGGACCACTGACACAGCTGCTGTATTGGTACACGGCGGACAGTTTAAATACTAGTTCGGTCCCGTTCAGGTGCTGCGCCCTTGTTGAACTTCAACAAAGATTGTCGTCCCATGGCCAACAAAACCAGGGTTTGAGCATTTCAGCAACGACAACAACCTAAGTACTGTCTAGTTGTGGTCATACCGGCTCTCTTCGTAAAAAAAAGACAACGACATACTTTAAACAAGGAGAATAATTATGGTATTTGAAACTAAAATTTGCACAATTTAGGTAATGAAGAAATTCTATTCCAATACACATCAGATAACAGTTTGACTACCGCACAAATACCAGAAGAGAAACAACTTGTACATGTAGATCAACATACACGTCTACTATGCAGAATGTTCACTTGGGAGCTGTAAGCTTAAAGCAACTGTAAAAATTGGGTGACAAAACTAAGACCATGGGCACACATACAGAGCGTTAAAACCTTGAGAAGCAGCCCATTATTGGGTGAAAATGCTAAGTTGTGAGTAAGATCGCAACAGCTGCTTTCATGCAAGTTCAATCAAAAAATTAATCAATCGAAAATAAAAAGGAAAAACCCAAAACCTTTTACCGATCGATGTTATCACTGTGGCAAATATTTAGTGCCTTGGGCAGTCACGTGATACGGTCGCCTTCCAGCATAGCCTTTAGTGGCGGGGGGCGTGGTCAAATGTCCGGAGCTTCGTGGTCAAATCACCGGAGCTTTGTGGTCAAATCACCGGAGCTTCGTGGTCAAATGACCGGAGCTTCGTGATCAAATCACCGGAGCTTTGGGGTCAAATGTCCGGATCTTCTGGATCAAATGACCGGAGCTTCGTGGTCAAATGACCGGAGCTTCGTGGTCAAATGACCGGAGCTTCGTGATCAAATGACCGGAGCTTCGTGGTCAAATGACCGGAGCTTCGTGATCAAATGACCGGAGCTTCGTGGTCAAATGACCGGAGCTTCGTGGTCAAATCACCGGAGCTTTGGGGTCAAATGTCCGGATCTTCTGGATCAAATGCCTAGCTTCGTGGTCAAATGACCGGAGCTTCGTGGTCAAATCACCGGAGCTTTGGGGTCAAATGTCCGGATCTTCTGGATCAAATGCCTAGCTTCGTGGTCAAATGACCGGAGCTTCGTGGTCAAATGACCGGAGCTTCGTGGTCAAATGTCCGGATCTTCTGGATCAAATGCCTAGCTTCGTGGTCAAATGACCGGAGCTTCGTGGTCAAATGACCGGAGCTTCGTGATCAAATGACCGGAGCTTCGTAGTCAAATGACCGGAGCTTCGTGATCAAATGACCGGAGCTTCGTGGTCAAATGACCGGAGCTTCGTGGTCAAATCACCGGAGCTTTGGGGTCAAATGTCCGGATCTTCTGGATCAAATGCCTAGCTTCGTGGTCAAATGACCGGAGCTTCGTGGTCAAATCACCGGAGCTTTGGGGTCAAATGTCCGGATCTTCTGGATCAAATGCCTAGCTTCGTGGTCAAATGACCGGAGCTTCGTGGTCAAATGACCGGAGCTTCGTGGTCAAATGTCCGGATCTTCTGGATCAAATGCCTAGCTTCGTGGTCAAATGACCGGAGCTTCGTGGTCAAATGACCGGAGCTTCGTGATCAAATGACCGGAGCTTCGTGGTCAAATGACCGGAGCTTCGTGATCAAATGACCGGAGCTTCGTGGTCAAATGACCGGAGCTTCGTGGTCAAATCACCGGAGCTTTGGGGTCAAATGTCCGGATCTTCTGGATCAAATGCCTAGCTTCGTGGTCAAATGACCGGAGCTTCGTGGTCAAATGACCGGAGCTTCGTGGTCAAATGTCCGGATCTTCTGGATCAAATGCCTAGCTTCGTGGTCAAATGACCGGAGCTTCGTGATCAAATGACCGGAGCTTCGTGGTCAAATGACCGGAGCTTCGTGGTCAAATGACCGGAGCTTTGGGGTCAAATGTCCAGATCTTCTGGGTCAAATACCCAGCTTCGTGGTCAAACAATCATAATAATAACTTATTTCTTATACGTTGGCGCTGATTGTGTACACACAAATCATTTAGACAAGATAATGTAGAGAGAATCTATTAAGGCCACTGTCAGGGAATGAAGTATGAGGCCGAAGATAGGGCCTACATGGTCACAACGTTAAACATAGAGCGAGTGATAAATGATTAAACGACCGTCCAATTGTTTTTTTCTTGTTAAACTTATCTAACTACTGTATGGCATTCCATGTGTGCACAAACATGACCTCTTCTGGGCTTAAACTAAACGCAATGAGTGGGGCTGGGCTGGGTAGGAGGGGGGATAAATACCAAATAAGAACTAATCTAACTAAAATCCCGATCAAATATTCATTAATCTGGCGCACACCTGCGAACCTCAGCGTCATGTTACACATCATAAAACTCACGACCATTCCCCAGATGTGTTCTAGCAAAACACATGCAATGGCCAGCAGTTTTAAGCACATTAAAAACAGATAGCTGTTTACTGAAACAGGCTGCACATCACAAACAGATTGCTGTTTACTGAAACAGTCTGAACATCACTAACAGGCCGCTGTTTAATGAAACAGGCTGCTGTTTAATGAAACAGTCTGCACAACATAAACAGATCGCTGTTTACTGAAACTGGCTGCACATCACAAACATATTGCCCTTTAGTGAAACAGGCTGCACAACATAAACAGATCGCTCTTTAGTGAAACAGTCTGAACATCAGAAACAGATCGCTGTTTACTGAATCTAGGCTGTACATGGTGGGTAATGTGGTGTTTTGTTAGCTTTGTTGGGACTTAAGCACATCTCAGGGAACCACAAGATGGTAAATGATTTAAATATCTGTAGTCCTAATATTTAATCACAGGTCAGCAGTAAAGAACAAATGACTGTTGACCCAAAAGTCTCGAGTTCGGATCTGGGTGAGTAATATTATGGTATAATTAATTCGTTCACAATGTTTATCTGTCTCGGATGACAACATACAAATATCTAAATAGTTTTAATAAGGGGCAGATGATCGGCATACTAAAATCTCAAGCTACTGTTTTATATAAAGCAAATATTTTGAGTTGCATGTGTTGTTCATTATGAACAAACAGAATGTAAAAATTTAAATACAAATTGTAGAAAACAAGTAGAAAAAAAAACAAAATAATAAGTGCACTAAAAATAAATGAAACGATCTTGCATTCTTTATCAAAAGCTACCCCTTGAGACCAGAAGGTCAACAGAAGAGATGAAGTGGAGTCAACCTGTTTCTGTGACCTCTGCATAAGAAGGGGGTGTAGTTAGTTCTATGACCAGCTGACTTTACTTTCCCTAATGTCAGGTACCCATTAAAGCTGGGTGGACTCTGGAACATCATAACCCATACATTGATATTAACTATAAATAGTAGATGGTCAAAGATCCAGATGGAAGTTCTTATTTCCACTAACAATAGAGGAAATAAATACCGTGTTTATTGCCTCTCATTCATGAGAGGATATAAGTACCGTGTTTATTTCCTTGACAACGTGTGAGAGGAAATAAGCACCTTATGTATTTCCTCTATCATTGGCCAAAATAAGCACTACAGCTCCAGGTAAACCAGCACAGAAAAACTAAATAATTTCCCTTATTCTAATCCGAAAGTCTTAAGTTTGTATCCCCGGTTCCAGTTTGTAGCTCATCCCTGAGTCCACCCAGCTCTCATGGGTACCTAACTCACATTAGGGAAACAAAGGCACCTGAGCATGGTGTTGAACACATTATCCAGTTTATATATGGGTCAAGGTCATTGAAACAGATGAACTCTACTTCTTCATCTGTGCCATGTATCTTGTGCATAAAATGGCAAATGATGATGATAATCCCCTTATGCAATCAATGCTTCCCACAAAGAAACTTAATGTTTTTCTTGTAGAAGTAAAATAATAAATAATGGATGTTTCACTTTTAGGTAAGTTTCTACACAATCTTAGACATGGATAAAGAAAATTTGTACAAAGTATTTGAGTAGCTCAGGTGAAAACACTTCACACACCTCCCTCCCCCACCCCCACTGCTCTTTTATGTTAGTGAGAATCTAATTAAGTCTAGTACTCACTGAGAGGTGGACTCCGAAGCTGCCCATTAGCTGCAGGTGTGGATGTGGCTTGTGGTTTGTGCTGGCTGATGGAGAGATCATGGTTCTCACTGATAACTAATGGAGTCAGGGGTTCTAACTTCCTTTGATCCATAGACACAGGAGACTGCTGGCTTGATGTCATTAAAGCCTCCGCTGGTTGGTTCTCTTCAGATTTTTTAGACTTCACCTTAGCTTTGCCAGACATTTGAGAAATATTTTCCTTTTCACTAGTTGAACTATCCTGTGGATCTGAACCTCTGCCCTCTAGTGCAGTCTCTGCTGCCTCATCAGCTCTTTTGGAAGTTGAACTTTTAGGTGACCTCTTTGGTAACGGGGAATCCTGACTCCCATCACCTCCCCCGGAGGTGTCTCTGGCGTGTTTACCTGGCTTAGTACCTGATTAATTAAAATAATTCATTTTTAATTAATCAAGAAACACTGCACATCTTAACTAAGTTTAAATGAGTATCATCAAAACCTAAACATAACTGAATTCCATGTTTTTAAAAACCTACTATCAGGTACACAAATGATATAAACTAGATATCTGTGCAAATAACTTTCAGCAAGTAAGCTCTCAATATATAAGCCTGTGAATGTAAAGCCCCACACAGGGAGGATTAATAACATAAAATTAATCAATAATTGTGGAGATATTTTATTGGTTTATTTTACTATCCATAATAACATGCTTTAGTTTTCTAATAGTAGATGCTCACATTAGCATTGTGTCATAGCCATAGAAATATGCAACAATGAATTATGTATGTGTATAAATAACTTAATAGTTACAAGCTCAACAAATTGCTAGTGTGTACCTACATTTTACATATATATGTATACACACATTTTTATATATACATATCAATAGGAACTGTATACATATATAATTTTTAAAATAAGTGAGTATGTGTATTTAAATTAATTTATTTTCATTGTCTAGTTAGGAGTATTTTATCAAAATCTTATAAGGCTATTTAAATTCCTCTAGTGATGACAAAAGCTATGATCAGCATTGTAGATAATAAAAAAAAAAACACCACTCCTGGCAAACACACTGGTCAACTAAATTATTCAGTTCTTTGGTACTGGAAATAAAAATACTTTCCTGGTCTATTTTTCAGTAGGTTCCTCAAACCAAATCTTCTCTAGTAATGTAAATACTGAAGTACACAAACTTGGAGTAGAGAAAGACAAGATCCACAAAGCAACAAGAAGCTGAGACAGCAGTGAGATGAGTAACCACCTCCACCACAGCCGGTGTGTTGAGCCGACTCTCACATAAAGCAATCTCACAATGTCTGGAGCACTGGGCTCACCAGTAAAATCAATACTCCCAGGGATCAATAATCTTGGCTGGCACATACCGGCATCAGGCTGACACACTAGCAGCCAGCAACAGCACGTCTAACAGGCAGTTTCTATTGATTGCATTTATAATTGTAATATAACATTTCTCCTGGGATGTCTATTCATGCAGTGTCAATCAGTGATGTATTTTTTTTAATAGCATCATTTAAAATAAGGTGTTCAGTTATGATTTTTTTTTAAATTGTTATTGACTTCATGAGTTCAAATAAAGTTGATATGATGAGCTGCTCTGAATGTAAGCCTCCATTCTTTATGACCATGCTAGACTTGTTTTAAAAGCTCATTAAAAGACAGCTGAGCTGTGGTAGCTCTACACTCAAAAGAGGCTATACAGCTTTGGCTAGCTATATAACATATTATATATCCAGCAGTAAACTAGCGTTTTGAAGCATATTATACTGTAAAACTTTTTAAAAATGTGGCTAAAATAGCAAGAAGCAATTGAAGTTTATATAAAAGGTGCATGTAAAAATGTAAGTATTTAAAACTTATAGGCCTACATTTTGTTTTAAACATTCTGATTGCATAACTATCTCTTTAATTCAACAGCATGGACTTCAAAGAGAAAAATTGTGTCTGCATCAACAAAATTTTTAGGATGCCCAAGTCAACTTCTGGTGGGAATTCAAGGCAATACAGAACATCAAACACATTTTTTGTTAAACACTGGAGATGCAAGTAAATAGTTTTCTTCACTTTTTACACTGATGACCATCTTTATATTTGTAATCTTTTGCCCATGTTTAGTTTTACATCCTCATTTAGATTTAAAGTAGACCTTTTTGGTGTCATAGAATAAAGCTTGGGCTTGGCCACTATTTGTAGGTAATTCTCAAACATTAACATCATTTGTTGTTGGACTCAATAAACATAAAATCTACTCTAGAAGGGGTGTATGAATCAAATAAGGAATCTGGCTACTGGCTCGTTAACTTAAGATTCGGCAGGGTAGAGATTTAATGCAACTACTACCTAGTATTTTATTATCTGATAAACAAAAAAAACAAACATTTATAATCAACTAGTTAGAAAGCATTGCTTTGGAACAAAAAGACATAATGCAACAACATTTTCTTGAGGCGGAACTACCATTGCAAATGGTGGCATAGCGAGTAGATGAGAATTTAGAAATTTTATTTTTTTCTGAGTCGATGAGAGTCTTGAAATTTTAATTTTTTTCCAAGACAATGGCATAGCATTTTAGTCATATCTATAAAATGTTAATCTATAGTTTTGTCTACCAGGAAGAGTTTCAACAGTGGTTCAGGTTAGTGCCAGTTCCGAGTGAATGACTGCAAGACTGAGCATCATATTATTATTTAGCTAATCTTTCTAGCAGTATACTATAACCCTCAAATCAAATCTTCAAACAACCAGGAATAAAAATAAATTTTTAACTGTATCATATTTTAAGGAGATTGCTCAACTTGGAAACTAAAACTAAAGGTCAAGTAATAATTCTAAATTGTAAGTTAAAAAAAGCTGATGTGAATCATAAAAAAAAGAAAAAAAAACAATGCTGACTGATGAGTGGTAAGTTTGGACTTGATTCTTGACAAGTAAAATTTTAATATTAGCAAGCAATAAATTACATATAACAGCTTAAACTTAACCAACGGAAAAAAGCTGACTAGGATACATTAGGATACATTAATAATTATAAAATGAGCTACAATATTTGTCTATTTACTTGACTGTTTTAGAAAATTGTAGCAGAACAATAAAACAAGTTGAAGTTGATTGGCCAATAAGTAAGCTATACACGCAATTTCTTTTACTTAATACTAACATAATAACTGGTTTTTATATAAATCTTCAGAAGGGCAGCACAGTATTTTAAAATATTTCCGACAGTTAGTAGATCCATCTAGATCTAGTTGCAACCTGTCAAGGAAAGCAATACTTACACTATGAAAACATAGCTTGGCCATACCCACATTTTTACCAGTATTAGTATCTGCCCCTTAAGTATCCTAAGTATCAAATTATATCTAGTTAATTTCAATGCTTTAGCAATACCAGTACCAGCTGTATAAGTTATTTAACTTAAAAAAAAATAGAATTTTAAAAAAGATTTTTCTCAAAGTTAGATCTAGATTTTTATAAATTAATTTAATCATTAATCAGAGTCCTTATTTCTACAACAGACAAGCTGACAGCTAATTTATCCTTGTATATGGGTGTTGTTAAGGGTAAGAAATGTAATAAAAACCAACAGAGGCGTAGCGACCCTTCCCGGCGCCTGGGGACAAACTTTCAATTTGGCGCCCCCCTCGGGAGCAAATTTTCGATTTGCACCCCCCCCCCCTCAAATTGCAAAAAATGCAGCTAAAATGACATTTTAATTTGTTTTTACAACCCATTTTGGCACCCCCTAGTCTGTGTAAAATAGTGACATCAGACATTTAAGTAGGCTAACAGACTAACAGTTGAAGTACTACAATCTAGGTCTAAATAAAATTGAAATAGGTTAGGCACTAGGTCTATCCATCTATGGTCTATAGGGCCTAATACTAGTATAATGACTACTATTACTACTAATACTAAAGTAAAGTGTAGCCTAGTACTAGATCTAGTAGTAGATCTAGATGGTCTAGAGTCTAGCTTGATTACTTACTTAGTCCTTAGGCCTAATTAGTAATTAGTAGCTAGATCTAGATCTAGATCTAGATGTAGTCTAGAGTCAGAGATCTTGAAATTTAGACTCCAGAATCTAGATTAGAATCCTAGATCTAGAATCTAATTAATTTGGCCTATAGTCTATAGGCTAATTATTAATCACTAATCTAGAATTCTAGATCTACTTCTAGATTAAAATGTAGGCCTAAGAAATAATTAATAATAAATTCACTAAAAATAGGCCTAGGCCTACATTTTAAAATTTTAATTATCTAGGTCTCTCGACTAGATTTATGATCTAGATCTAGGCTAGTACTAGATCTAGATCTAATAGTAGAGCAGAAAGGTCTAGATCTAGATCTAATCTTACTCTTAGTCTAGCTAGATCTAGATCTAGATCTAGAAGAGTTAAGCCGATTATCACGATTAGTCAGTCACAAGTTCTTAGTGAAGTACTGTAGTGAAGTGTATTTTTAGTAGTCTAACTACTAACTAACTAAACTCTAAACTTATTTAAAACGTAATCCATTTCATTAGCTGTAATTAGTGACGTTATTAAACTACTCACCCATTTTAAGCACTAGATCTACTATTATGAATAATCCAGCAAAGATGAGCGCAGGATAAACAGGTCACTTCTAAGTCTTCTAAGTAGACTAGCTGGCTACTCCTGTTGCAGATGCTTTGGATTATCGTCCCGTTTACCGACCTTTACCACCGAAAATAGCTGAAGAGCACAACCACCTTTACAGATAATTTTACAGATCCGTTTCTCTAGAAATTATTTCATTACATGATGTCAATACTTGAGCAAACAACGTCCACTGATTTATAATGATAATTTCTTGATTTTACACTTATCAAGCTCGGTGCAGTGTTGTCAGTCAAGTTAAGCGCACACTAGACAGATATCCATTGTTACACCTGGGCCAGGGCGAAGTCAATAAGCAAATTCAAGTGCTCCAACTCTAGATAAATTTAGCAAGCTAGTAATGTTACAGCTTATTTCCCTTGGGTCGTTTTGAAAATATTACAAACAAACCAGACCGACATTGAAGACTTACCTTTTGGTTTTTGTGAAAAGAAAATCAACTTTGAAAATCTGATGTTTTCTTTGGCCAAACTTCATATAAAATCAAACACACAACTTCCATATGCTGTTAATAATATTATTCTCTTAGTAAAATGAGATCTAGAAGGCTACTTTAAAATTCTCCACTGGAATTTTCAATTTGGTTTAGGGCCTTACTAATTTTTCATTTAATTGGATAGCTGGATCGGCTATTGTTTAAAGAAAATAAATATTATGCGCTTTTTACTATAAAATTACATTATTATGCACGAATAAACTCTCAAGCGCTATATTGAACGAACTGTTCTTAAAGCATGTCCCACAACTTCACAAAGCCTATCCATGTTATATGTTTATGAACCTAAATTCATTTTAAAAAGCACCCGCTATGATCTATGATTGTCAATTTAGGTTATTCAAATGCACGTTATGAAAGGAAAATTTAAAAAAAAATTAAATTATATATATATATATATATATATATATATATATATATATATATATATATATATATATATATATATATAATTTGTATAGTTACAGTGACACTACCGGGCAGCGTGAATAGGTTAATCAATCAGATTTGGATAAATCGGTGTACTATTTTAGAGTCTACACTTTATTTAAATGTAAGAAGTAAAAGTAAAGAATCCGTTTTAGACTAGCGATACCTTGGCATATGAAGTAGAGTTCATATGTTTCTTGATCTCGGAGTATGAAGGGAAAGTGTGGTCTGCACTTTACCCTTAAGAAAGTTTGACTCAGGGACGTCTTATTGACTTGGACCCGATTCGAACTCAGGACTTTCGGTTTAGCAGCCTAGCGCTCTACCGCTTAGGCTGGTTTAGCAGCCTAGCGCTCTACCGCTTAGGCTAAGCCGTCCCATAATTTGATTGTAGCTCCAAGATTACTTGGAGAAGATGCTTAAGTACAAAAAGGCATGAGTGTGTTGGGGGCATTAGCAACCTCCCCTCCCAAGGACTTCCAAAAAACGACAAATGTCTGACGCTAAGCAAATGGCTACATAGCGTTCGTGTCGATTTCGTAAAAAAACATACATTTACGTTATCAAAAAACATTATCCTCTGTGGAATAAGCGTAGGTCTATGTGCACTAAGGGGGGTCTGTAATTTTGTGACGGTGTGTGATGTAATAACAATTGATTAAAACTCTATTTTGACAGAGTTCAGACAAGATTTTGAAAAAATATAGCTGTTTAAAAAAATTCAACAGCAATTTTGAGGGGGGGTTGTAGGCTGAGGTGTGACGTCATTTTAGGGGGGGGGGTCTGGCTTTTTGTGGCGACGAGTGACGGAGGGGAGGGGGGGAGGTAAAAATCGTCAAAAAAGCGTGACGTCATTTATGGATGACCCCTAACACACACACACACCACATACACACACCACACCACTCAACACACACACACACCCATGACAAAATCCTTCATACGCCTCGTCTATTGCAACGTCATATAATATATCGCTAGTTGAAAGTAAACAACGCAAAATACTGAAGGAAAAAATCTAAAGATGGTTTCTTTTATTGCCTAGTTTATAATTTTACTCATTAAACATTTGAAAAAAAAATATACTGTTTTTAATTTTGTTTAGTTACTTTACACCATATTCGGGGCTGACGAATGCCGAGTCACACTGTCTTTTTTTCCTTTCGAGCTTTTGGGAACTAGATTGTCCATGTGATGGATCTTCACGATCTGATCTCTAGGAAAGAAGATGTCGATATGAGCCTGAATCCCCAGGGCGTCCCCTGCCGTTCTATCCTGCATGATCTTATGCTGGTCCAGCAAGACACGTGACTTCCGCCAACCTCGGAGTTTCTTGGCCGGGATGGAGCTGCAAATAGCCACCAGCCATTTGTTCAGGGTGTCCCTAGCGCCGAAGTCGAGCCAGTTGATCTCACTGTTACAGTTGGGCTCGTCGGGTACGGCTAGAACCCCGTCCCACGCACGGTTTGATGGGTCGGGGACACGGGACAGACCCTTGACGTTCGTCAGGTCATCGCCGAAAGAGATATCCTTGTAGAGGTCATCCTGTCGGGGTCAACAAAGGACAAGCATGAAGTTTGGCTCAATAACTTGTCGTTTAATTTACGGGGTTGTACGCAATCAGGTCAAATATACGACAACTAAACAAGTCAGAGAGGCGACGGATGTTTAGGTTTCAAGTTAGTTCTAAGTCTTAGTTATTTGTTAGAAGAACTCATATAATCATAAAGCTAAAATAGTTGATACCTCTACTTGAAGGTCAAAGATTAATATACAATACGTCAAACCCACATGGAATAGCCTCTAAACTATTATAGACTGTTAGCTAGTAGGTCTCGAGTTCGGATCCCCGGCTGGAGTCTGTATAACGTCACAGAGTCCACACAGCTCTGAGAGGTACCTGACTTAACAATAGGGAAAGTAAAGGCGGCTGGACATAGTGCCGAGGTAATCGGAACAGGCGGACTCTACTGTATGTGCTCTTGAACATGAACGGGTAAAGATGATGAAACTATTATAGGTATAAACCTAGAACCCCCTGTGGTGATGTAATGTGTATGAAAGGTGAATACGTGGAACGGGTCACTGCGTGTGTGTATGTATCATGTAGTGAGACGCGAGGCCGGGTGTGTTGACGTGTATGTTGTTGTACGGAGTGAACGAGGGTACAAGGGAAGCGACTGGTCGGGTGACAGTGGCTGTGTTGTGAGAGAGAGAAAGGTGGTGTGTAGGGATGAACAGTGTTTCTTCCAGACTTTTTTCTCCGGGGGGGCACTTGAAATTTTCGGGGGGGCGGTAAACTTTCTTCGGGGGGGCGAACACTGTTAAAAGTATATATTTTCTATATAAATTATATAAATTTCATTTCGTTCGGGTGGGCGGTAAAAATTTTTCGGGGGGGGGGGGGGGCTTCGCCTCCCCGAAGAGATGCCTGGAAGAAACTCTGGGGATGAATGCGGAGGACAGTTGAAGGTTGAGTGTCAAAGCAAGGAGGTGGATTTTGGGACTGGAGGCACGGGAGATAGAGAAATAAAGAATACTGTAATAGCCTCAATCGTGTTGTGCTTTCTTTGAGATTCAGACGCCCTCACCCCCCCCCCCCCCCACACACACACAGGTTCGCGTACGGTACTCACTAAAAAGACCATACAGTCTACTTTAAGTACTCACCAAGAAGACCACAGTAATTAAGTTGGCGTTTTCTTTACTCGACTCATACAGTCTTAGAGAGGAGTCAGAGTGCAGGCGCAGGTAGATGTCCCGCCATTTTCGCCCCTTCTGCCGGTGGATGCCACAAGAACAGAACCGCCCACACGAGGCAGGGGCCACATCGGCAGACCAGCGATAGAATTTACAAGGACCGACGGCGATGGGGAAGGAGCGCCCCGGTCCTGTCAGATGTGTACCCGGCTCAGCGGCGCCGTGCACAGGGTAGGCGTCAGCCATTTGCTTGCTTCTGAGAGCACATGCCTCACATGCGACGTAGGTCAGATCTCGATGATGTGCTTTAACGTGATGTTATCTAAAATGGTATGTTTGTGTTTAAAAACACTGTGTCTGTATCATGATCCATGATGCGCTTCAATCAAGCTACTTCCGCACCGAAATACACATTTGTGAACTTCCTGTTAGACGTGCAATAATTTAGCATTCTGCATGTATAAAAATTTCCAATGGACTCGATCTAGATCTAGAATCTACTTCCTTTCGGTACTTTTGAATAAGGAATATATCTACAGCTGGACTTATCGAAGTAGACTTAGAGAAGTATTTCAGAATTAAAAAATGGGATGAATGAATCTAGAGTTCGTTATGTGCCTACATTGTAGACTAGTTTGAAAAGTTGGATGAACGAATGTAGAGTTCGATATGTCCCTAAATTGTCGCCAGGCAAGCATGATAATTTAAAATTCAACACAATTTTAACATGAGTGGCTTATTTAAAACTGTAGGTTCGTATCTAAACTCTGCATCCTTGCCTCATAAACACATTAAGGCAGCATTGTTGGCTTATTCTTAACTTGCATTCCTTTTTGTAAATAAACAATTATGTATTAAAAATTAAAGTAAATGTTAAAACGGATTTGACTGTCAGTTATATGCCTTTGGCTTGAATGCTCATCTAAGAAAACACAAATCAATGACCAACCACAACTTTTTATAATATTTACTTATCAATTCTTTTACTTTGAAGGTAACAAAAATGAAGCTTATATTATAAACTAGACTACCCGTTATCTAGTTAGATAACTGTGGGTTTCGGGGGCCATCCATAAATGACATCACGTCTGTCACTAATCCTCACAAAATAACCAGACAGCACATTTAAAAAGGCGTCACATCTCAGACGTTTTAGTCTTTTAAAAACACTGACTTCGTCTGACAACATAATCTTTTCAAATGCTGAGGTCACAAAAACAGGTCAACTCTACTTCACCTGCCCAGTGTCCTACCAACCCAGACATGTTTTTGTCTGTGAAAACACAGATTTTGGCTGAGCGTGGGTCTGACCACACAATCTCTTCTTATGCTGTCGTCACAGGTGAACTTTACACCTACCCAAAACTACGTCACCTGCCCAGTGTTCCGCCAAGTCTCAGACAACATGTTTTATCTTTAAAAAAAAAAGATTCCGGCCGAGCATGGCTCTGACGACACTATCCACGTTATATACTGAGGGCAAAGAAACAGGGGAACTCTACTGCACCTGCCATGTATCCCGCTAAGTTCCAATAGGCAAAGGCAACATTATCATTCATAACTAAAAAAAAAAAATAATAAAAAAAAAAAACAAATAAAAAAAAAAAACAACAACACTGGCATGTCTAGAATCCATGCCACCCGCATGGTAACCTAATGTGCTAACCTCTTAGCTATCTAGGCTCGTATTCTAGAGACGTTAATAACTTATATATTTTACTTCTAAGCGGCGTAACAATCTTTGAGGTCACCGAATGTTTAGGAGTTGAGGGACTGAGTTTTACTACCCACTGTTTAACCATAGCACAGCACAGGATACACAAGGAAAGATGGACGATACAAGTATTGGTCTTAGCATAGGATTCACGTCCATTCTACTTCTCCTGCTTCATCTGATCTTCAAACTATGGACAGGGTAAGGTTTCAATTTCTAGGTTGATGAAATTTCATATATCAGTATTTTATCAAAATCGTAGATCCTGATAAACTTTTGGGCGATTTCCAGCAACCGGAAGTGGTACTTTTTCTATTTTGAATTTTTCAAAAGCCTTTAACTTGAGTACTATTTCAGATAGATATATGAAATTTAACATGTAAGTAAAAGATCTAATTCTTGGGGTTGTCATTGTTTGGGGTTGTCATTGTTTGGGGTTGTCATTGTTTGTGACTGTCATTGTTTGGGGCTGTCATTGTTGGTGACTGTCATTGTTTGGGGCTGTCATTGTTTGGGACTGTCATTGTTTGGGGCTGTCATTGTTTGGGACTGTCATTGTTTGGGACTGTCATTGTTTGGGGCTGTCATTGTTTGGGACTGTCATTGTTTGGGGCTGTCATTGTTTGGGACTGTCATTGTTTGGGGCTGTCATTGTTTGGGGCTGTCATTGTCTGTGACTGTCATTGTTTGGGGCTGTCATTGTTTGGGACTGTCATTGTTTGGGTTTGTCATTGTTTGGGACTGTCATTGTTTGGGGCTGTCATTGTTGGTGACTGTCATTGTTTGGGGCTGTCATTGTTTGGGGCTGTCATTGTTTAAGGCTGTCATTGTTTGGGACTGTCATTGTTTGGGACTGTCATTGTTTGGGACTGTCATTGTTTGGGGCTGTCATTGTTGGTGACTGTCATTGTTTGGGGCTGTCATTGTTTGGGGCTGTCATTGTTTGGGGCTGTCATTGTCTGTGACTGTCATTGTTTGGGACTGTCATTGTTTGGGACTGTCATTGTTTGGGGTTGTCATTGTTTGGGACTGTCATTGTTTGGGGCTGTCATTGTTGGTGACTGTCATTGTTTGGGGCTGTCATTGTTTGGGACTGTCATTGTTTGGGGCTGTCATTGTTTGGGACTGTCATTGTTTGGGGTTGTCATTGTTTGGGACTGTCATTGTTTGGGGCTGTCATTGTTGGTGACTGTCATTGTTTGGGGCTGTCATTGTTTGGGGCTGTCATTGTTGGTGACTGTCATTGTTTGGGGCTGTCATTGTTTGGGGCTGTCATTGTTGGTGACTGTCATTGTTTGGGGCTGTCATTGTTTAAGGCTGTCATTGTTTGGGGTTGTCATTGTTTAGGGCTGTCATTGTTTGGGACTGTCATTGTTTGGGGATGTCATTGTTTGGGACTGTTGTTGTTTGGGGCTGTCATTGTTTAAGGCTGTCATTGTTTGGGGTTGTCATTGTTTGGGGTTGTCATTTTTTGGGGCTGTCATTGTTTGGGGCTGTCATTGTTTGGGGCTGTCATTGTTTGGGGTTGTCATTGTTTGGGGCTGTCATTGTTTGGGGCTGTCATTGTTTGGGGCTGTCATTGTTTGGGGTTGTCATTGTTTGGAGCTGTCATTGTTTGGGGCTGTCATTGTTTGGGGTTGTCATTGTTTGGGGCTGTCATTGTTTGGGGTTGTCATTGTTTGGGGCTGTCATTGTTTGGGGCTGTCATTGTTGGTGACTATCATTGTTTGGGGCTGTCATTATTTGGGACTGTCATTGATAGGGGCTGTCATTGTTTGGGGCTGTCATTGTTGGTGACTGTCATTGTTTGGGGCTGTCATTGTTTGGGACTGTCATTGTTTGGGGATGTCATTGTTTGGGACTGTTGTTGTTTGGGGCTGTCATTGTTTAAGGCTGTCATTGTTAGGGGTTGTCATTGTTTGGGGTTGTCATTTTTTTGGGCTGTCATTGTTTGGGGCTGTCATTGTTTGGGGCTGTCATTGTTTGGGGTTGTCATTGTTTGGGGCTGTCATAGTTTGGGACTGTCATTGTTTGGGGCTGTCATTGTTTGGGGTTGTCATTGTTTGGGGCTGTCATTGTTTGGGACTGTCATTGTTTGGGGCTGTCATTGTTGGTGACTGTCATTGTTTGGGGCTGTCATTGTTTGGAGCTGTCATTGTTGGTGACTGTCATTGTTTGGGGTTGTCATTGTTTGGGGCTGTCATTGTTTGGGGTTGTCATTGTTTGGGGTTGTCATTGTTTGGGGTTGTCATTGTTTGGGGTTGTCATTGTTTGGGACTGTCATTGTTTGGGGCTGTCATTGTTGGTGACTGTCATTGTTTGGGGCTGTCATTGTTTGTGACTGTCATTGTTTGGGGCTGTCATTGTTTGGGACTGTCATTGTTTGGGGTTGTCATTGTTTGGGACTGTCATTGTTTGGGGCTGTCATTGTTGGGGTTGTCATTGTTTGGGACTGTCATTGTTTGGGACTGTCATTGTTTGGGGATGTCATTGTTTGGGACTGTTGTTGTTTGGGGCTGTCATTGTTTAAGGCTGTCATTGTTTGGGGTTGTCATTGTTTGGGGCTGTCATTGTTTGGGGCTGTCATTGTTTGGGGCTGTCATTGTTTGGGGTTGTCATTGTTTGGGGCTGTCATTGTTTGGGGTTGTCATTGTTTGGGGCTGTCATTGTTTGGGGCTGTCATTGTTTGGGGTTGTCATTGTTTGGGGTTGTCATTATTTTGGGTTGTCATTGTTTGGGACTGTCATTGTTTGGGGCTGTCATTGTTTGGGACTGTCATTGTTTGGGGCTGTCATTGTTTGGGGTTGTCGTTGTCACGGGTTGTCGTTGTCGGGGGTGGTCGTTTTCGGGTGTGGTCGTTGTCGGGTGTGGTTGTTGTCGGGGTGGTCGATGTTGGGGGGTTTGGGGGGAGTCTTAAAACAACTTACCTAAACAACCAGAATATGATTGTGTAATAATAACTTTGTAAGTCAAGTCTTGCAGGTGGTGTCGTTTTACAACTGCTACGTCTTTGTGCAATCTCAGTCATAAATATTTCATCATCGTGTACATTGACATGTATAACGATACTCACTTATTTGTCCTCAGATGCCCTGTCAAAAGGGCCCCTCCTAATGTCGTCTGTCTGTATCAGGTTGGACGTGGGCCCTGGGCCCCCAGTATGTCGCCCTTTCCTTTAAAACTGGAGACTTTCCTCAGGATGGCTAAGATCCCGTACATGGTAAATGTTGGCGTCAAATTATCTCTGTCACCTTCATGTTAGGAGCACTAAGCCCGAGCCTGTAGCTCTGTAGTTGTGGTCCTGTAGCATATAGCCCTGCCTATCCAACACCCTTTGTTGTCGTCTCAAGCTCCCTCGTTTACCACTTAGTCTGGCATTAATGCTTATGAAACCCTCGCCCTACCATTTTAGTAATAACCGTCAAGTTAACCGTTAATATCCATTTCATGCATTGATATCTTTACTAGGAATGTGTTGCATTTGTATATAGCTATTTTTTATTTTAATTTTAATAGAAGATTAAATAAGCCACATATTACGTCTATGTGACGGCGTGGCCTAGCAGTAGAGCGCTAGACTGCTTATCTGAAAGTCTCAAGTTCGAATCTGGGTTCAGGTCAGTATTTCCCCACTTGAGTTCAGCTCTGATGGGTCCCTAACTCATGCCAGGGAAGTGAAAGCGGCTGGGCATAGTCCTGACCACACTTCTTATGCCAAAGTCATAGAAACAGTTGAGCTCTACTTCACTTGCCCTATGGACCTTCAGGTTCAATTCAGAACTTCCCTAAATTACGTCTGGAATTAAACGAAATGTTGTAAATAACAAGCGTCACGGGGCTGGAACAATCGCTAACACGGTGTCTATTTATTTACAGAACGACCACACAGGACAAATGTCAACAAAGGGCAAGACTCCGTGGATGACGTACAACGAATTAACCATCGCAGACTCTCAGTTCTGTATCGAATTCCTCAAACAAGAACGTGGACTAGATTTTGACGCGCATTTAACTAAAGAAGAAAAGGCAGTGGCGAGGGCATTTCGGGAACTTACAGAAGAAAATTTGTATTGGTAATCTTCTGTCGTAAACGTTTGTTTTGATAATGAACTCATTAGTCAACGAATACTACGGAATTAGTTTTAGCATTTTACATAAGACCGTTGTCTAGTTTAGCAGAAGTAATTTTATCTGGCATTCAAAATCTATCTCTACACATTTGCAGGGTTTTGTTTTAAAAAAAAAACACCCTTTATGGTCTTTAAGTAAATAGAAAATATTGAACAAGACGTACAGGCTAAGTTAACAAAATGAATAATACAAATGTCTAGTGGCCAATGATTTTTCTGTACTCCGTAAATAAGAAAATCCGAAGCTAACGTTATTCTATCTCGCGCTAACAGGACCATGTGCTATGAAACATTCATCAAAAACCCCCAGAGAATGGATATTCTACTCCGAGACAACTTCCCACGATACATGACACGTGCATTCAAGCGTCTGATGGGTAGAATAAAACGGGAGCTTCGCGGTCAGGGCATAGGACGTCACACGGACAGCGAGATCTGGGATATTGGCAGGAGGGACCTCACGGCGCTGTCTGAGTTTTTGGGTTGGACAACTTTTTATTTCTGTACACATCTCATTTTGGCTTTCATAAAATGATCTATTTGTTATTACGACGCGGCGCTGGATTCTTGTACCCCCCACGGGTTGCCTGGAGATTAGGGATGATTGGTCACGTGATCTATGACCCGCGATCGCTGTTTTGAGTTGAATAATCTGTCAGGGTGGCGTTACATGGGGGATTATGGTCAGATGACGTCATAATCTGATGATTAGTTGCGGGAATAATCGAATTAATCATCGTTTGAATGATTTTGGCCTGCATTTTGTATTGGAAATAACATAGTTCCGCAATTCATTTAATGTGTGTGGTTTTATTGATGTGCGAAACAGGGCTAGTATGGGTGACTATGGGTGACATTTGCTATGTGTAGGCTAGTGATTACAGTTTATACTTGTCTAATCTCTTCCTCGCATGTGTTTCTAGCTATATGTAATGGATTATTGGTTAAATCTTTTAGCTATAGTTTATAAACTTAGTATGCATTTATCAGTTCAAATGAACATTTTATTTTAATAAACCGGGAGTGATCTCCCCGAAACTTTCTCGAATATTGTTATATAAAATAACAGGGGATGGGAACTCGGGCTATAGACATGATTTTTAATCCATTTTAAATACCTAAAGTTTTAAAAATAGAATAAAATCTCGTAGACAAATTAATTGCACACCAAGTGAACGCCAAATAAAAAGGGCATAATAGTGCGCAATATTATTAGTACTTTTAAAATTTACATTAGTTTTTGAGAAATCGGAAATTATTACTTCCGGACAACGGAAATTACTCAAAATTTAACAGAAGGTAGAGAATTATATCTTTTACTTACATGTGAAATTTCATTTATCTATGTGAAATAGTACTCAAGTTATAGGCTTTTGAAAAATTCAAAGTAGGAAAAGTACCACTTCCGGTTATCGGAAATCGCTCAAAAGTTGATACGGATCTACGATTTTGATAAAATACTTATATATGAAATGTCATCAAACTAGCTGTAACGGTACTCAAGTAATCGTGTTTACACACGGACAGACAGACAGACAGACACACAGACATACGGACAAGATTGCAAAATAATGTTTTTCCGTATCAGTGAGGTGTAAAACGTCGAGATTTGTAAAAATCTCGATTTTTTTTTGCACGATTACAATACTTTCTCTATACTTCGTATAAACGAGAAAGTAAAAATGAATTATTTAAACGTTTTATATCTGTTTGTTGCAGGAAGCAAACAGTTCTTCTTTGGAGATTCACCTTGTGAAGCTGATTGTGCCATCTTCGGTATGCTGGCTATGGCTGTCTGGCAGATGAAGGGCTCTAGACACGAAAGTTTGATCTATGGTAAGATAGAAGTCTAGTCTATATATCAAGGATCTAGACACTAAAGTTTGATCTATGGTAAGATAAAAGTCTAGTCTATATATCAAGGATCTAGACACTAAAGTTTGATCTATGGTAAGATAAAAGTCGAGTTTTTATATCAAGTATCTGGACAATGAACACTTAATTTTGCTGAATTTTGGGGAATTTTGGGGCATTAACACTAGTGTTTTTAACGGACCCACAATTTGAAAATCCATAACAAATTATTTTGAAGATATGCACTTAAAATTTTTAGCTGAATACCCCAAAATATAGTAGAAGATTATGAATTCATTGTTTATTGGGCTTAAAATATAATAGTTTATGAATGGTGGAAAACCTATAAGGGTTTATTTTTCAAGATGGCCACCGTTGTCATAGTTATGACGATTTTTCCACATTTTTTTTAATGGAAACGCATATGCGGATGTACCTTAAAAAAGCTGTAAAGAAATAATTATTTTCTAAAGATTATTAAAGAAGTTTTTTTTTACCGGCGCCTACCCCCTTTCAACACACTAGACGTGTCTTGGTTGTTTACACATGAGTCTTGTCTATTTTAAAAACGTATGGAGTATAGAGAAATATTGTAATTGTGAAAAAAAAATGTGTTTTACACCTTCAGAAGTCAGAGAAACCCATTAATAACTGCCTGCTTGCTTGTCTATTGATATGGCGGCGCCGTTCTGTCTTCTCTCTCTCTTTTGGTCTGTCGTTTTTTTTTTAAAATCTTTCTCTCTTGCTTTGTCTATTTTTCTATCTCTCCCTCTTTTCTCTCTTTGTCTGTCTCTGTCCATGTCTCTCTTTTTCCCTCTCTTTTCTCTGTCTCTTCCTGTCTGTCTTCCTCTCTCTCTCTCTCCCTCTCCATATCTCGATCTCTGCCATTTGCTAATGGTTACTAACTAAAATCCCATTTTAGAGAAACTGCCGAACTTGGTGTCATACTGTGAGAGAATGAAAGAGAAGTTCTGGCCAGACTGGGCCCAGAGGTGTAGAGGCAGGGACTATGTGCGTGATGACGATTTGGTTTACACTTTGAACCAACCTGAACACTTGGATGAAAGAATCAGTCCAGAGTTAGCTAAACAAGTTTCATGAATGCCTATCTTTATATAAGGAAGATTGCCATTATCATTAACAAATTTAATTAATACATGTTAATAGTTTGATCTACTAAATTTAATACAAAAGTATGTGAAATTACATTCTTTCATCAATATACATGTTTCTACCTTGAGTGAACGCAAGCTGTTATCTGCCGCAACTTGTCCAAAGCAGTATCATGTTGCACCTTGAGTGTAGCTGTAATTGTCGCGGTTTTCCGGAATAAGGATCTGTAAGTGCAACAGTTACATATACACTCTAGTGCGACAGGGTATTGTTTCGGGTTTTCAGAAAAATGCGCATTCGGAACACAGAAAAATTCGCAATACAAAAATATAATCTAATATACTTTAATTTTATAATATTTCAGGGAAATATATTTAAAATCTTCTGCAATGTACATATAGTCACTCTAGACTAGACTAACCTTTATCTAGTTAGATAACTGTGGGTTTCCGGGGTCATCCATAAATGACATCACATCTGTCACTAATCCTCACATTCAAAAAGGCGTCACATCTCAGACGTTTTAGTCTTTTAAAAACACTGACTTCGTCTGACAACATAATCTTTTCATATGCTGAGGTCACAAAATCAGGTCAACTCTACTTCACCTGCCCAGTGTCCTCCCAACTCAGACATATTTTTGTGTGTGAAAACACAGATTTTGGCTGAGCGTGGGTCTGAGCATACTATCTCTTCATATGCTGTCGTCACAGGTGAACTTTACACCTACCCAACACTACGTCACCTGCCCAGTGTTCCGCCAAGTCTCAGACAACATGTTTTATCTTTAAAAAAAAGATTCCGGCCGAGCATGGCTCTGACGACACTATCCACGTTATATACTGAGGACAAAGAAACAGGTGAACTCTACTTCACCTGCCCTGTATCCCGTTAAGTTCCAATAGGCAAAGGCAACATTATCATTCACAACTAAAAAAAAATAAAATAAATAAAAACAAAAAAACAAACTCTGGCATGTCTAGAACCCATGCCACCCGCATGGTAACCTAATGTGCTAACCTCTAAGCTATCTAAGCTCGTACTCGAGAGACGTTAATAACTTATATATTTTACTTCTAAGCGGCGTAACAATCTACTCGAATCTGAAACATCTAAATCGGCAACTAAATCTTGGATTGAATTCGCCATTTATTGTACTAAAAAGTAAACACATCATGTGACGTCACTATTTCCACATAAAGTCAATGTTTTAAAATTTTAAAATTAATGTGGTTAATCTACCTATGAATAAATCAATAAATTATTTAACGTCTTTAAAACGTCTGAAAACAAAAATTGTTCTCTACCTACATACTATTTTATAGTTTTCCATATAGCGTGGATCCTCTACAGTAGTCAATCAGACAAACAAATAAATATTCAAACATGTAAACAAACTTGAGTTTTAGTAGTATAGAGATAGATAGAATGTTGCACCCCCTTCTCCCACTCCCCACCCACCCCTTTACGCCGACTTCTCATTTGACCAAGAAAATTTTATTCCTGGCTAGGTACGTCTGCGACTTGAGTACCCTAACTGTGTGTGGGGGTGGGGGGGGGGGTGGGGTGGGGGGGTGGGGGTAAGGGAAAGAAGAGGACATTTTATTGTTGCCTGTGGCTATTCATGCAGGCGGAGTAACCCGTGAATACGGTGAGAAAGAGTGATCGTCCCTGGGTGATAAAAATAGCCCACCGCCAATTATTGTAAACTTCACTCAGACTGCACAACAAGCAAATTTTTTTTTCAAGGGCCGTCACACACTAGTTGGTGACTACAACTCTAGGGGGAGAGGATGGTTGGTAGATTCGGGGAGGGGGGGGGGGTCGCATTTATTGTCCGTGAGACAGGGACAACCACCTGCACCCCTGCTCACAATTATACTTTAAGCAAACTAGGTTAACTTTGGCTGGGTAGTTTTTTTTTTGAGGTCACCGAATGTTTAGAAGTTGAAGGTCTGAGTTTTACTACCCACTGTTTAACCATAGCACAGCACAGAATACACAAGGAAAGATGGACAATACTAGCCTTGGTCTTAGCATAGGATTCACGTCCATTCTACTTCTCCTGCTTTATCTGATCTTCAAACAATGGACCACGTAAGGTTTCAATTTCTTTTATAAAGCATGTTTCTTAATGCATGTTGCGGATAAGCTATGTAGGTCTATAATGATTGAAATATTATGTGAATATGGTGTTAAATATGTTTCAGCTTTCACAATTATAATAGACAACTTGGGGATAGTTTTTTTTTAATACTTACAATCAAAATTAGATCGATAAAAATAAATGATTGAAAAAAAAATCGAAATGAACAATATCGCAGAGGCTAGTTACTAGCTCTTTTGTGTGTGTATTACTCGTATCATACATACATTAGTTGCTATCGCACATGTTGCACAATGGGGTGCTATCGGACATCGGGTGCTAAGCTGTGATATTTTTTAATGTTATTTGAATCCTATGATTCATCTGTAACTTAAGTTAATATGCGTAATAAAGAGAATTCTACATATGACATGACTTTCTCTCTTACAAACTTCATCCAGTTCTGTTGTCAGTCACTCTCTTATATATAACAACACTTGACCTTTGAACTCACACTATTACCAGTTGCTTACTGGTTTTCTCTAATGACCCAGCTTTCTAGGTAAAAAGGTCACCAAACTTGTGTGACCTGACCTCGTAACAGACCAGCAGTAGCTTCCCCATATCCTCACAGCAATAGAACAAACGTTATGCAAGTATTGTGCATGTGTGACTCAAACATGAATAGTTGAATACAATAAACGTTGATGTTCTTGACTACAAGATTTCTAGAGAGTCCTCTTTGGTCTATTTGATTATGTAAACATCAGTCATCTGGGGACAAGTCTGTCTTGTGCCCCGTCCCCGGGGAGAAGTTATTTAAATTTTCTGCCACCCACCCCAGTCACCAAGCCGTTGTCGTAGTGGTGAGTCATAGAGGGACAGACAAGTATGCAAATAGAATAGACAGAAAAATGGGTGCTCACTCTGATGGAAGGATCGTAAGAATACAACTCGTTATCCATTTTATACAACATACCAGACTATGTATTATTGCAAACAGTATACAACCATATATATTACTGAACAACCTACTACACTTTATTACTTTATATACAACATCTGACACTATATCGACTATTATTTTGCAACATCCGACAGTATGTATTCGACACTAGATCTATATATTTCTGTGCAACTTACAATATTATACATTTCTGTGCAACTTACAACACTATGTACTACTGTGCAACATACGACACTATATATTACTTAACTTTATAACCTACAACACTAAATATTACTTTGGAACATTCGACACTATATGGAACATATGACTATGTATTGCTGTACAGCATACGACATTAGAAACAGTTTCTTTCAGGCATCTCTTCGGGAGGCTACCCGAACGAAATATAATTTATATAGAAAATGTATGAAAGAAACACTGCATTAGAAAAGCTGTAGACACAACAAGTTATTAATTATATATGATGTCATCGATAAATATTTCCCGACATCGTACGATATTTTTATCTTTAACACAGACGTGTATTTACTATTTAGCGCTCTATCGTTGAAAGTGTACATGGTGTGTCATGTAATGGTTGAACATTTACAACAGTTTGGGATAAGGGGAGTTAAGATTAAAATAAAGGCTAATAAATCAGGGGAGAATAATTTTCATTTCCCTTTTCAATGTATTAACTTGAAAACTAGAATTACCTACCTTTTTATATTAAGTATGGTGGCTACATAATCCAGTAAGTTTGAATTAATTTCCGAAGATTATAATTATCCAATAATCCTTTTCAAACTTTACGTTCGTTTGTATCAAAACGTCACCATGTTTTCACGACCTTGTGGATACCTTGTTGTGACTCTTATCAGACCATACACACAACACACAAACACACAACGTCATAAACTTGTCACTTACGATAGGTTTCAACCTTCTAACTGTATCTATGCTGGGGCGAGAGATTTACGCTCAAATCCCCCCCCCCCACCACCAACCTCCACAAATGGTTATCAAAAAAGGTGTCTTATTTTAAAAGACATTCTCTTTACGATTGCAAGTTACTGTCACTGATGGTCTAGGTCAGGGGTCTCCAAACTACGGCCCGCGGGCCGAATGCGGCCCACGAGGTCGTATCATCCGGCCCGCGGAGATCTCTTTGTCCACGGAAATAAACGTTTGTTGTTGATGGCTGAGGAACTTTACTCAGAAAAATCACGACATGCCTGGAAGAAACTGGCCCCCGAACTGAAATTTGATGGTTAATGCGGCCCTTGAACTGAAAAGTTTGGAGACCCCTGGTCTAGGTCATGTGTTGAGTAATAAGGGGTTATCCATAAAGACGTCACGCTTTTTCGACGATTTTTACATTACCCTCCTCCCCTCCGTCACACGTCGTCACAAAAAGCCAGACCCCCGCCTAAAATAACGTCACACCTCAACATTGCTGTTGAATGTTTCTTAAAACATCGATATTTTTCCAAAACCTTGTCAGAAATCTGTCAACATAGAGTATTTTGATCAATTCCCGTTACAATTTATTAAAATCGTTTCCTTTAACCCGAAATAACGGCTAAAACTCCTTTTCTAACATTGCTTTTTTTATAATGCAAAAAAGTGACGTCACACAATCTGACCCCCCCACATCCCCCTCATCAAACACCGTTACATCACATAGTTACCGACCCCCCTACGAGTGTGACGTCATTTATGGACGACCCCATAGAACAAAGCAAGCGATCGTTGTTTTAAGATTAGTTTGTCTGGGCACGGTGTTGTCTCCCTTATCTGTAGTTGAACCACGTGACCAATATTAATTGCACGTGATATCGATTTACATGCCGGGCATATTGCAGTGTGTGACTGAGTAGATTGTGATTGTCTTTCTTTTGAGAAGTGTAATAAATCGTTTGTGTAGTAACAGGCTGGGGCTGTCATTGTCGGGGTTGTCGTTGTCGGGGGTGGTCGTTGTAGGGGGTTGTCGTTGTCGAGGGGTGGTCGTTGTTCGGGGCGGTCGGGGTTGGTCGTTGTCGGGGGTGGTCGTTGTTCAGGGCGGTCGTTGTTGGGGTTGGTCGTTGTCGGGGTTGGTCGTTGTCGGGGTTGGTCGTTGTCGGGGTTGGTCGTTGTCGGGGTTGGTCGTTGTCGGGGTTGGTCGTTGTCGGGGTTTTGTCGTTGTCGGGGTTTTGTCGTTGTCGGGGTTTTGTCGTTGTCGGGGTTTTGTCGTTGTCGGGGTTTTGTCGTTGTCGGGGTTGGTCGTTGTCGGGGTTGGTCGTTGTCGGGGGTGGTCAATGTTGAAGGGAGTGGTCGTTGTCGGGACGCACAAAACCCCACATTGTTTTTAGATATCTATTATTTATATATGTGAGGATGTGCCCGAAACTGTTTTTTTTTTAGTTTTTTTGTAAACTACAACTAGAATATGATTGTGCAATAATAACTTAGTAAGTCATGTCTTACAGATGGTATAATTTTACAACTGCTAAGTCTTTGTGTAATCTTAGTCATTGATATATCATCGTCATGTACAGTGGCATGTATAACTATACTCACTTATTTGTCCTCAGATGCCCTGTCAAAAGGGCCCCTCCAAATGTTGTCTGTCTGTATCAAGTTGGACGTGGGCCCTGGGCCCCCAGTATATCGCCCTTTCCCTTAAAGCTCGAGACGTTTCTCAGGATGGCTAAGATCCCGTACATGGTAAATGTTGGCGTCAAATAATCTCTTTCACCGTTATGTTAGCAGTGCTAAGCCAGTCTCAGCAATTTGCCCTACTTGCTTCACTGTTTGTTGTGTCAAGCTCCCTCGTTTACCACTCACGCTTATGTGAGCCTCACCCTAACATTTTAGTTGTAACTGTAAAGTAACGATAACAATTGCTTGTATTTATATCTTTACTATGAAGGTGTTGAATTTGTATATAGAAATTTAAAAAATTGTAATAGAAGATAAAACAGGGGACATATTTACGTCTATGGGAAGGCGTGGCCTAGCGGTAGAGCGCTAGGCGGCTAATCCGAAATCCCGAGTTCGAATCAGCGTTCAAGTTTGAACGTCTCGAGTCCACCCAGCTCTGAAGGGTACCTAACTATCGTTATTGAACGTAAAGGCGGCTGGGCATAGTGCTGACCACACTATCACTTCATATGCCGAGGTCACAGAGGCAGGTAAACTCTACTTCACTTGCCCTATGAGCCGTCAGGTTCGAAAAAGGAACTATACTGAATTTCGTCTGGAATTAAACGAAATGTTTTAAATACCACCCTTCATGGGGCTGGAACAATAGCTAACTCTGTATCTATTTATTTACAGAACGACCACACAGGACAAATGTCAACAAAGGGCAAGACTCCGTGGATGACGTACAACGAATTAACCATCGCAGACTCTCAGTTCTGTATCGAATTCCTCAAACAAGAACGTGGACTAGATTTTGACGCGCATTTAACTAAAGAAGAAAAGGCGTTGGCGAGGGCATTTCGGGAACTTACAGAAGAGAATTTGTATTGGTAAGCTTCTGACGCAAACGGTTGTTTTGATAGTGAACTCATTAATCAACGAATACTGCTGTATTTTTTTGGTATTTTACATACGACTGTTGTCTAGTAAAGCAGAAATAAATGTATCTGGCATTTAAAATATATCTCTCCACATTTGCAGTGTTTTGTTTAAAAAATACAACCCTTATATTTTTATGTAAATAAAATATATTAAACAAGACGTAAAGGCTAAATTAACAAAATGAATAATACAACTGTCTAGAGGCAAATGATTTTTCTGTCCCCTTTAAATAAGAAAAGCCGAAGCTAACGTTATTCTATCTCGCGCTAACAGGACCATGTGCTATGAAACATTCATCAAAAACCCCCAGAGCCTGGATATTTTACTCCAAGACATTTTCCCACGATACAAGACAATTTTATTCAAGCGTCTGATGGGCAGAATAATAAAGCAGGAGCTGCGCGGCCAGGGCATAGGACGTCACACGGACAGCGAGATCTGGGATATTGGCAGGAGGGACCTCACGGCGCTGTCTGAGTTTTTGGGTTGGGCAACTTTTTATTTCTGTACACATCTCATTTTGGCTTTCATAAAATGATCTATCTGTTATTACGACGCGGCGCTGGATTCTTGTACCCCCCCACCCCCTATAAGTTGTCTGAAGATTAGGGATGATGGGTCACGTGATCTATGACCCGAGATCGCTGTTTTGAGTTGAATAATCTGTCAGGGTGGCGTTACATGGGGGATTGTGGTCAGATGACGTCATAATCTGATGATTGGTTGCGGGAACAATCGAATTAATCATTGTTCGAATTATTTTTGGCCCGCATTTTGTATTGGAAATAACATAGTTCCGCATATTATTGAATCCGTGTGGTTTTATTGATGTGCGAAAAAGTGCTAGTATGGGTGACATTGGATTCGTGTAGGCTAGTGTTTACAGTATATAGGCCCTTCTTTTCTAATCTCTACCTCGCATGTGTTTCTAGCTACATGTAATGAATTATTGTTTAAATCTTTTAGCTATAGTTTATAAACTAGAATGCAGTTATTACCTCATATGTAAATTTTACAGTATAATGAAATATTTAAATGTTTTTTATCTGTTTGTTGCAGGAAGCAAACAGTTCTTCTTTGGAGATTCACCTTGTGAAGCTGATTGTGCCATCTTCGGTATGCTGGCTATGGCTGTCTGGCAGATGAAAGGATCTAGACACGAAAGTTTGATCTATGGTAAGATAAAAGACTAGTCTTTATATCAAGGATCTAGACATGAAAGTTTGATCTATGGTAAAAGCCGTCTTTCTTTCAAGGCTCTATACACTAAAGTTTGATCTATGGTAAGATAAAATCTAGTCTTTATATCAAGGATCCAGACAAGGAACACACGATTAACACACTAGTCTTGTCTAGATTGTTTACACACGAGTCTTGTCTATTTTAAAAACGCTTTTTTTCCTTCATCGTGTATAAAGAAATATTATAATCGTGAAAAAAAATCAGTTTTATACCTTCAGAAGTCAGAAAAACCCACTAATAACTGCCTGCTTGCTTGTCTTTCTCTATGGCTGCCCTGTCCGTCTTCTCTCTCTCTCTCTCTCTCTTTTGGTCTGACGTTTTTTTTAAAAATCTTTTTCTCTTGCTCTTTCTATTTTTCTGTCTCTCCCTCTTTTCTCTGTCTTTCTCTGTCTCTGTCCATGTCTCTCTTTTTTCCCTCTCTTTTTCTCTATCTCTTCCTGTCTGTCTTCCCCTCTCTCTCTCTCTCTCTCCCTCTCCATATCTCGATCTCTGACATTTGCAAAAGGTTATTAACTACAATCTTATTACAGAGAAACTGCCGAACTTGGTGTCATACTGTGAGAGAATGAAAGAGAAGTTTTGGCCTGATTGGGCCCAGAGGTGTAGAGGCAGGGACTATGTGCCTGACGACAATCTGGTTTACACGTTGAACCAACCTGGGCACTTGGATCAAAGAATCAGTCCAGAGTTAGCCAAACAAGCAACATGAATTTTGATATATGTAGCATTGTCTTTGTCATTAACAAATTTAATTAATACATGTAAACAGTTTGATCTACTAAATTTAATAAAACAGATTTTAAGTTAAATTACTTTATCAATAATTAATATTTTTATGGGTGCATGATACACTAAAGATAACATTTCTATTTGTGCTCTTTTGTCTATATTTATATTAATTGTATTTGCAGAACACTAAAAGTAAAATAAAAACAAGCAGCTTCCCGTATGAAGCTGTGCGTTTATCCAATGTTCTTATATTCACTGTTACAGTAACAAATTGTCCCTGCAACAGTTGTTCTCACGTGAAGCTGTTCTCACGTGAAGCTGTTCTCACGTGAAGCTGTTCTCACGTGAAGCTGTTCTCACGTGAAGCTGTTCTCACGTGAAGCTGTTCTCACGTGAAGCTGTTCTCACGTGAAGCTGTTCTCACGTGAAGCTGTTCTCACGTGAAGCTGTTCTCACGTGAAGCTGTTCTCTCGTGAAGCTGTTCTCTCGTGAAGCTGTTCTCTCGTGAAGCTGTTCTCTCGTGAAGCTGTTCTCTCGTGAAGCTGTTCTCTCGTGAAGCTGTTCTCTCGTGAAGCTGTTCTCACGTGAAGCTGTTTTCACGTGAAGCTGTTTTCACGTGAAGCTGTTTTCACGTGAAGCTGTTTTCACGTGAAGCTGTTTTCACGTGAAGCTGTTCTCACGTGAAGCTGTTCTCACGTGAAGCTGTTCTCACGTGAAGCTGTTCATGTAAACATAGTTCCAGTTGCAAGATGTTCCTGCGGCACATGTTCCTGTAAATATAGTTACAGTTGCAAGCAGTAGCGGATTAAGGAGTGGGGTAGAGAGGGCTGCAGTTAGGGGCCCCGATTATTTGAGGCCACCAAGTTTACCGCTTAATTGTTGGTTTTCACTACAAAACAGTTTTATTGTTTGCATCACAAGCTTCAATTTTTTTTTTCAATATCTAGCACGCGCACACATAAGTATAAACACCAGATGTCATCACCTCCTATACAGAAATTGTATAAAGCCAACGCTCCCTGAAAACAACATAGTCCGGATCAACGATTGCTTATGACAATAAAATTAGTGTTTTTTAGCATTAAAAACACAAACAGCAGCTAAATTGTGACAAATGATTGGCCTATCTTTTTAATAAGCCAGAATTAAAATTTATTTCGTCAGATCGCGTTACGCGGCGATAACAACAAATATATAATAATACTTTATGGGGTTTGTGTTTGTATTTGTGTTATGTTTGCGTTGTTTTTTTGTGTGTATGTTTTGGTTTTGTTTGGTTGTGGTTGGGTTTGTGTTTACGTTTGGATTTGTTTTCGTTTGCTTTTTTGTTTGCGTTAGTGTTTTCTTTGTGTTTGTGGTTGGGTTTGTCTTTGCGTTTGTTTTTGTGTTTTCGTTTGTGTTTGTTTTGTATTAGTGTTATGTTTGCGTTTTTTGTGTGTTTTTGTTGGTTGTGGTTAGGGTGGGCAATGCCGGGTAAATGCTGATTACTAAACACACAAGTTATGGTCCTTTACAGATACGTTTTTCAGAGATGCCAGTGCAGGGCCTGGCCGGGACGGCTAGTTATTATATATTTAAACAAAATCATTTTTTTTTTCTCCTTTTTAGTGTACACAGATATACAAGCTTGCTATTAAAACGTTTTTTTTTTATTTTGCATTTTAAAAACACGTGAGAAAGTTTAGAAGAGATCACAAAATACAAATTGGTACGCAAAACACCAACATGACAGCTGTCTCGCATTAAGTTACGGCATTTATCGACAGCAGTGGCATAACCAGGCTCGTTTCATGAGTGGGGTTTACACGGCTTACAAAACTTTGAACTCACTTTACGATTTCTGAATGAATCAGGTGAAAACAAACGCACTTTCGTCATTCAGGAGTAATGTAGTACTCTCGTTGTAACACACCTACTACATTGTGTAACGTTTCCTAAATATCTATACGCCACAACACCGCTGTATAATTGTTTGACGTGCAATTTCCCACCCCCCCCCACACACACACTCACAAACACATGCTCACCACCACTAAATTTACTACTAAATTGGTATTTTTACAAAATGTAGACTGATGTTACAATTTAAGAAACTTACCTAATTTAACGTGCTTGTTATTAATATTCTATATAGAAGAAGTTTAGTAACTGTTTCTTTTCAGGCATCTCTTTGGGGGGGGGGGGGGCATTCCCTTCTCCTCCCAAGCACGTCTCTTGCCCCCCCCCCCCCCGCCTAAATGAAATAGAATTTATATAGAGAATATATTCTTTTACCAGTGTCCGACCCCCCAGATAAATTTAGTCCGCCCCCAACCGGGGAAAATTTAAATTGTGCCCCAAACAAGGTAAAAATATGTATATCAAGCTGTAAACTTTTTCTTCCGCTGACTTTATTTTTAGAGGCATTGCAACTCAAACGTGGGGAGAAAATCTTGGTACACCACCATAAACTTTTATTCCTTGTCATGACGGGATTGAAAGTCGATCACATCCATTTGGCAGCGCGAATTGAAATAAGAAAATATAAAAGGTGGTTTCTTCTAAGTAGTCATTTAACCATTTTCACTTCATTCACTACTTTTTCGTACGTGGATTCTATTAGGAATACAAAAAGTTGAGCAGCATTGGTTCGCATTTGAGCTAGTTATTTGCTGAACCGTTGTCACATTTCAGAAGATCTTGATTGATACTCGTACGCAGCACAGTCTACTTCGATTTTTACACAACACAACCTGGGACAGTTTTGTAGTGACCGTTCACCCACACACAATACATGGAAGTCTGCTACGGTACAGTTAGTAAAATCCAAGAGAAACAAAGATGGCCAAATATTCTGGCTTGGAAAGCGTATTGTAAAATTTTTTTTTGTTACTTGGTATTCTATAAAATGACCAGGAATTATATGGAATATGATAGAAATGATGGGACCAGCCGGGGAGTGAACAATTCTAACCCATAATAATTTTCTAAAGCCAAGTTTAATGCGTGAAAAATTGATGCCGTTTGTATTAATAAAAAAAATACACACACAGAAAGTAAAAACAGGTTTTTAAATCGAAACTTTTACTTGATAGCCTCGAGCGCTTGAAACAATATGTAACAGATAACAAGATATTAAATAAAACAGGCATCCTCTTAAAATTCTAAAAATATACACTTAAAAAATAAATTTAAAAATGTGTATTGTTGGATGTAAGCACTATTAGCCAAATGCATTCCAGATATTATAATCGTAATAAAGAACTACAGACGATTCTCTTCACAATGGTATACATTGTTCTAGAGGCTGCCACAGCCAGTATATATATATATATATATATATATATATATATATATATATATATATATATATATATATATATATATATATATATATATATATATATATATATGTGTGTGTGTGTGTGTGTGTGTGTGTGTGTGTGTGTGTGTTTACATGAAACTTGGCTTGAAACAACATCCACTCACCAACAACAGATTCCCGCCTACGCCACTGCCCGCTCACTACACCACTTGACTTAAACCAGGTTACTTAAGCTGGGTGTTTTTTTTTTTAATGCCGCCGAAGTTTAAACGGCGATGGTCTCGGTTTGTGAATCCACTCACTGCACTCACTCACCACAGGGTACGCAATTACAGATGGACACCACTAGCATCGTTCTTAGCACGGGATTCACCAGCCTTTTGCTTCTTGTGCTTCGTCTATTCTTCAAACACTGGATTAAGTAAGATGGGATTTTCGACAGTACACTAGACCGATTGCCAAGTTTCACGTAGGGTTTTGATAAATATACTTAAATTTGTAGCCTTGTTCTACGCATATATATATATATATATATATATATATATATATATATATATATATATATATATATATATATATATATATATATATATATGTACATATTTAAATTTACTGTCAAAACTATTTTTTATTCAATTAAAAAATAAAATATTAAGGAGAGGAGGGGGGGGGGGGGTAACACTCCATCGGAAATGCAAAATTGTTAGAAGGGGTGGGGTGACACTCACTAAACGCACCGGGTTATACCGAACCTAGTGACGTAACTGACTAAATACATATTTTAAAAAGTTGCTCATGATTTATTTAGATTTTTTTTCTTTATTATAAGAAGAAATGATTAATATGTTCCTTGAAGTCCATTCTAGCTGCTTCTGTATGTTCGATACTTAAGATGGCCAAGTCACTGACCCAAAGGGCATATCTACAGCTTTTTTCATGACATCATAATAATGGAAAGACCCGGGGCACCTAATCATATACTGCTGCCGATGATTATAGTAGCCATCCGTATCCCGAGGGCATGGCGCTCATTAAAACAAGTGTATACGCCGTAGTGCTCACGGGCTGAGCCCGGGACGCCGGCTGATGCACCTGAGCAGTTTGACCGTTGAATTAAGCTGTAAACCTGAGCCCTCGTACAGGACACCCAATTAACCCCGGTGCTAAGAAAGACGCTAGGTGGCAAACCGAACCGCGTTACTGCAAAGGAGCCGCTCTCCAAACGAAATAAAAAACAATATTTAAGGGCAGAAAACTTTACAGGAGTAAGAGTTTCTTTCTTACTTCTCTTCGAGGGGGGGGGGTGGCACTGCTCCTCATGTGTGGGGTTGTGGTAGGAAATTTCACGGTCAGTCGAGGTTTGTCTGAATTATTCTAAACGATTTCCCAATGTTTCTTGGTGATTGGATCATTTTTGTATTAATGCTTAAAGGACAAAGAGACTAACAGAAATCTTTAAGTAGCGGCATATTGATAAGAGATAAATTAGATAAAAACTTCAAATTGTGATTGAGGTTAAAACTAGAAAAACATTGACACATTTTCAACGTAGCTTGTTGTGAAAATGGCTCAATTGTAATCATGAATGGATGGAATTTCGGTGAGGACAGAGAGTTGAGAGGGGAGGGGGTGCAGGTTTGTGGCGGTAAGTAAAAAGTTTTTAGCGATGCGTATACATTTGCGGGTGCCGGATGCCAACATCATAAAAGAGTCAATGTTCAATTTTATTTATAGGCTAATTCTCTCAACAATGCCTATAGTGTTATTACTACCGATTGGCCCTGTACAACCCCCCCGCCTCCCCAGAAAGAAAGGTCTGGGGGCCATTTTTGGAACTTTTGATTACAGTAAAAAACAAACTGGATTTCCGTTTTCTTTTTAAAAATTATTTTTAGAATACAAATATTAAAATTCCAATATAAACGTTTTTTATTTAAATAGGAAAAAGGGCCCCTATTTGCCTTGGGCCCCTATACCTTGCTTACTCTAGCTTTACGGTAGCTACGCGACTGAGGTCAGATTGTGTAATGTCAAAATTGAGCATTATGTGTTTATTCTCAGGAGTCCCTCTATGAAGATACCTCCAAATGTTGTATGTCTTCATCAGTTAGGACGCGGACCTCTTGCTCCCACCATATCACCTTTTGTTTTAAAGCTGGAGACTTTCCTCAGGATGGCTAAAATACCGTACATGGTAAATTTTGGTGTACAAAACCTATTGACACTTTCATACTAGCAGCATTTTGGTAGATTTAGCTCTCTCTTTCTCTCTCTCTCTTTCTCTTTCTCTCTCTCCCTCTCTTTCTTCTCTATCTCTTTCTCTCTAGTTCGCTCAATCTTGCAAAACACTGACTCTTACTAACGACTTCCTCTTACAAAGCATACACACATATTAAATAAAAAACTCAACACTTCTATTGAAGCTATTCTTCAAAGCCTTTTAATGTTTCTGTAGGTTTGGTATTTTTTTTTAGAGTCATACAATAGGCTACTAATCTATATATATATAATACTCTCCTTGGAGACGATAGAAAACACCAAGCTGTAAGCGCGCTCCCTACCACCCCCACCTCTACATGGTCTGGTGAACTGTGGTTCACGCTAAATGTTTACAATCGTAGAGCCGGGTTTAGTGACGGCTATTAGGGGCAGACAATGTAGTTTGAACCGATTTTAAACTTAAGGGAGGTAACTAAGAGGAGTTTGCTTTCAGGGGTGGGTGGGTGGAGGGGGGTAGTGGTTGGTGAAAGGATGGGGGGTATCGTCCTTAACGACCATCTGATAGTGTTTTAAAGCAAATATTTTCAGTGGCAGCATTGGTACTGTCGAATTCACAAATTATGAATTACTGAAAAGTAGAAAATAAAACAACTAAATAGCGGCGTATGATACGCCGCGGGTCGGCTCGTACTAATATATATCGGGAACAAAAGACAAAAAGCAATTTTAAATTGTTCACAGAACGATCACTCGAGAAAAATGTCAACAAAAGGCAAGACTCCGTGGATCACGTACAATGGATTAGATGTCGCAGACTCTCAGTTCTGTATCGAATTCCTCAAACAAGAACTTGGACTAGATTTTGACGCGCATTTAACTAAAGAAGAAAAGGCAACAGCGAGAGCCTTTCGGGAACTTACAGAAGAGAATTTGTTTTGGTGAGTTTTCTTTGCTTAACGACAAATTACATACCATCACACACACACACACACACACACACACACACACACACACACACACACACACACATACAAACGCACGCACGCAAGCACGCATGCACGCACGCACACACACACACACACACATTAGCACTGTCTTTTATGCATTACTACAGCATTCGCTCATGAAATCTCAACCACATTTCGATGCCCAATAATTGCATTGAAAAACAAATTAGTTTTAATTGCATGTAAAAGCTTTTTTAAAAAAAAAGGTTTTTATATTTGTTTTTTTTTTTACTTTTTAGTCATTCGTTCTAAATGAAGTTGAAACCTAATCAGTAGCTAGCATTCTCTAAAAGAAATTGCCTGATATTCTTGCATTGTCTTTGAAGACGAATGTATCATTAGAGTGTGCATTAGAAGTGGGTCGAAATTGAGTTACAAGATTTGTCATCAAGTATCAAAAAGCAAACAAATAAACAGGCAGACATTTTGAACTAAATACAAGCAGATTTAAAAGCCTTCAAATTAACATGAATCTATCGTCACTTTAACAGGAACATGTGCTATGATGTATTCATCAAAAACTCAAATAGGTGGGATACAGTTTTCAAAGACACTCTTGCTCGTTATCAGATAATTTTATTCAAGTGGCGCATGCGCAGAATCATAAAACAGGAGCTGCACGGCCAGGGCATAGGACGTCACACGGACAGCGAGATCTGGGATATTGGCAGGAGGGACATCACGGCGCTGTCTGAGTTTTTGGGTTGGGCAACTTTTTATTTCTGTACACATCTCATTTTGGCTTTCATAAAAGTAGCTACACCTGAGAACTGTTACATATTTTAGCGACCATTGCTTTAATTTCAATTTATCGGCCAAAAATAGGAAGCGGTTCTATATCATAGAAGTAGGCTCTAACTTTAGTCTATATGATCTACAAATGCGACCAGTGTTTCTTTCAGACTATTCCTCCCCGGAGTGGGGGGGGGGGGTACTTGAAATTTTCGGGGGTGGGGGTGGAATAAATTTTCTGGGAGGGGTCGCACCGGTAAAAGTATATATTTTCTATATAAATTGTATTTCGTTAAAGGGGACTTGCTTCGAGGTGGGTGGTGGGGGGAGGGGTCCCCGCCCCTTAGAGTCGCCTGAAAGAAACGCTAAATGCGACTTTTGTCAGATTTGATTTTAGGTGCAAGGTTTTGGGGTATGACTATGATTATATTTAATATCAAAGTGCAGTAACGACTTGTAGATCAAGCTTAAATTCGATTAAAATGCCTATTCTTGATAAAAATCCGTTTTCAGTGACATTTTTCGTTTCCGGTTAAATTTAAAAGTTGAGACTGATTTTGTTTTTGGTTTCGATTTAGAGAAAAAGACAACACTTTCAAACTAACGCTAGTTGTATCTCTCCCTCAACGGACCATTTATCTCGTTAATAATAACGGTGTATTGTTTTGGCTTTTTTAATTAGTGTACATTTCTGCAACATTATTCGCGCCAGTTTGGTGAAACCGCCAAGCTACATTATGAATAATCCTTATATCGTAAGACTTTAAACAAAAAAATGTAATTAACTTCTTTTATGGTAATTTTACATTCATACATTCATGATTTAAATGCATTTGTTAAGGCAAGACATTAAAACCACTCTAGGTTAGCTAATTTTTAAAAAACTACACATGTATCTGCTGCAGGAAGCAAACAGTTTTTCTTTGGAGATAGACCTTGTGAAGCTGATTGTTCTTTCTTTGCCATGCTGGCTATGGTTCTTCATCAGATGAAAGGATCTAGACATGAACGTTTGATTTGTGGTAAGCCACGTATCTATTTGTGAGTGTTTAATATGTGACAAGTCAAGTCTAGAAATAGACATTTCATTATAGTTACGAATGTTTAAACTTAATTTTTGAGAAGGCACCTTATTTTTTAAACTTTCCTGTTAGATTTTAAAAATCTGTAATAACTTCTCTCTTTGTCTTTCTCCGTCTATGTCTGTCTCTCGCTCTTTTTCTCCTGTCTCTTTCTGTCTGTCTTCCTCTGTCTCTCTCTCCCCCCCCCCCCCCCCCCACGTATCTAGATCTCTGCCATTTGCGCATGGTTATTAACTACACTCTTATTTCAGAGAAACTTCCGAACTTGGTTTCATACTGTGAGAGAATGAAAGAGAAGTTTTGGCCAGACTGGGCCCAGAGGTGTAGAGGCAAGGACTATGTGCCTGATGACAATGTAGTTTACAAACCAAAATAGTAGTCTCCAGTCAGCCAAACTGGCCACACAGATTATAGTCTTCAGCTTGGTTTAACAAAAAAAATTGTATGCTCTGAATTTTATATTAAAAAAAAACTTTGAACTAAGGAATATGCTCAGTTTTTCCCCATTCCCCCCCCCCCCCCCAATCTGAAGCCTTTACTTTTTAGTCACACCAGCTTTAGTAAGGTTACTCGAAACTCTGTTTAATTTTTACATTTTATTGCATTTTTTTTCATTTGTGATTGTTTGTGTGATTTGTGGATATAATAAAAGTCTTTTTCCTAAAAAAAAATATTTTTATGTGAGATTTATTTAGTTTTTTTAAACGAAGAATAGATAAAACTTAGGTCTTGCACAGATATGAAATCAACTGAACTAAAACTTGAAAGACAAGTATTATCATTCTTTGGTTTGAATTTTATCTACACAACATGAGGATGGGTTAGATAATTTTTCCTCTCGTTATATATCAAGATAGTTGGCAATTTCAACGAACGCAGAGAATAGATTTCAGGTCAAGTTGTCCAGTTATTACAAAAATGGCATTCTAACCCTTTACCACTTTCCCTGAAGCTTTAGGTTAAGCCTGTGTACCTGTATGAATATATCTGCGAAATGTGATACGGTTATCATCCATGCATTGTTGTTACAGTAAAATAAAACAACGTGTTGCCATGGCAAGTCCATGAAAAACTTTTCCATCTCTTCCAGGCAGTCCCCCCCCCAGAAGAAAGTCTACCCCCCCCACCCCCGGAAAATGTAGTACCCCCGAAAATATCAAGTGCCCCCCCCCCCTTCCGGAGAAAAATGTATGTAAGCAACAGTGGAATCTCGTCATCAGAATACATGTTTTTTTCGCAGTGTTATTTAAAAAAAAATAATTGTGATGGCGTGGTAGGATGATAGCGTTTACGATGTGGCAATACGAAAATCGTGAGTTCGAATCTCCGACGTTTCTGAATCTATTTCAGTTGTGAAATTAAAAGCAGCTGGGCATAGTGTGCACCACACTATCCTTTCTTTTGTCAGGGTCGTGTCATCTGCTCCTTGAACGTCTATGAGGACCAATGCTATGCTATCTTGCTAAAAACATCCTGTTAGATCACGCCTCTGTTTTAAAAAGTCAAAATAATTTTCCGTGTACTCTAAATCATTCGTCTCTAAGCGACATTTGAGTTAAATATTATAATAATAAACGACTATTTAAATAACTATAAAGAAAAGCGTGGGCCTCTTCATAAACATTAGTAAAGGTATCCAATAGCTATTATAATGACCCACGCTTTTTTAAATAGTTATTTAAATTATTATTTATTATTTTATATTTTAAAAAAAAAACTAAATTAATTTTCTTCTTTTTAGTACATTATTACATAAAAGATTTTTATTTAAAACATTTGTGTGCATTTATTTACATGATTTTTGACCGCGGACATGAAGTGTAGATAATTTATTTTAGAGATCGCAAGCTACTGATCGGGTTTTAATGCAAATGATTTTAGTCATGAGTGGTTTTGAGTGCATTAAGAACGAATTACTAAAAAGTAGAAACTTTTAATACCGCACTTATGTAAATCATAATTACCCATGCAAATAACAATAATGGAACGAAACCCTAAGATGACATCCGTTTCGCGTTACAGATATTGGAGTTGTATGATATTCACAGCTATCATATTTACAAGTCTATAATAAAACTACAGCTTAAATAGCGTATACCAAATAGCTATACCATTATGACATCAAAAGTGTATATCATATGACCAGAAAATTACAATATATAATTGCTATGAAACAAGCAATACTCTGCTGTACCATAAGCAGATCAATTCTTTATGTACTGTCGACATTTTTTCTAAGTTATTTTGTGGGTGTAAATGTTGACCTAGGATATTTCACAACCGTTTAGGGTTCCTGGTGGTATGATATAGATACAATTATATTTATGTATTTAGCCTACGCCCTTTATTTTATTTATAAAATTTATAAACACACCCATCTCTGGTAACACTATGCTAACTGCGTCACAACCCACTAACCTATTTTAGCTTTGGTTGGCTGGTTATTTGGGTCACTGAATATTTGACAGCTGCTGGTCGACGCCCAGACGTCACTCAACACGATGAATGGAATCAGAGTTCAAACCCTCTGGCAGATAAGGCTCGATCCCTCCCAACACTAAAAATTAGGAAAGAAGAAGAAGAAGAAGAAGCTTATGCCTTAGAGGGTCGTCCATAAATGACGTCACACTCTTAGGTGAGAGGGGGGGTCTGTAATGTTGTGACGGTGTGTGATGAGGGGGAGGGGATGGATGTTCAGATGGCGTGACGTCACACTTTTACATTATCAAAAAGCAATGCTAGAAAACGAATTTTAGCCGTTAGTTTGCGTTTTAGAACACTGTTTTAATGAATTTTAATAGAAATTGATTAAAACACTCTATGTTGACAAAGTTCAGACAAGATTTGGGGAAATATTGCTGTTTTATAAAAAATTCAACTGCAATTTTTTAGTGGGATTGTAGGCTGAGGTGTGACGTCTTTATAGGGGGGGGGAGGTCTGGCTTTTTTTGACGATGTGTGACGGAGGGGAGGGGGGGGGGGGGTGGAGGTAAAAATCGTCCAAAAACGGCGTGTCGTCATTTATGGATGATCCCTTAGCATAGGATTTACGTGCCTTCAAATTCTCCTGCTTTATCTACTTTTCGAACACTGTGCCAAGCAATACTTGAGTTAGTTTTGTAGTTTATTTTATTTTTTACAATACATGGGCCTATAGTTTATAAGGATTAACGTTTTTTAAAAGATTTGTTTAAAATACCAGAAAGCCACACAAAAAATATGTTCCAGCAAAAGTAAATGGGTAAAATAAATCCACATTTCTAATTATTCAACCAGTAAACAAATATATATATATATATATATATATATATATATATATATATATATATATATATATATATATATATATATATATATATATCTTAAGTATTGATTTGAAGTGAATATAAACACCAAAATCATTGAAACCCCCAAAAGTGCAAAGACTTATTAAAAAAATGGGAAACAAACTATATGTACCAACAAGTTATAACGCAGCTGGTACTAGATACAATTGGCCTAGTCATTTAGGGTGGGTGTTGGAGGGCGGTTAAGGGATCGAAATTCATGCAAAGGAAAGAGCATGATGCATACTAAAATTAATTTACAAAATTCTTAAATACTTACATTTTTGCGTTTAATTCGACAACCACTAACACACTCAGTGTAAGAAAGAAAAAAGATTGTACACGGAAAGTCTAGCATGGCGTGTCGTTTCTTTTTATTAAAAATCGGATTATTAAATTACAAGCTTTTATTTATTTCGCAACGTTTGTTTGTTTGTTTGTTTGTTTGTTTGTTTGTTTGTTTGTTTGTGTGTTTGAGGAAAATCTAGTAACTCAATTTTTACCCGGCAGTGATTTCGTTCAAGCTTTCCAGATACTTTCGACTTGGATGACAATGCAAGTATATCTATTTTTTAAAATTTAATTAGATGTTCGATTATTCATTAAAAATAAGTAACCGGTTTTGAAACTAAGGGGAGATAACACATTTAAATCACAGGATAGATTACTATATTCTAACTAACTAGAAATAATCGCCCTAATCGTGGTTCACGAAAATGTTTACAATTGAAAAGCTTGTCTATCTAGTGAAAGGAATAACTAAAGAGTTGAAAATAAAACAAATGCAAAATAATCTTTATAGCAACTAGCTTGTGAAAGTACTAAAAACTTACTACCGTAAGTCAGGTATGAATGTTTCTATCATGGTAGGTCGTGGGTCAGATATGAATGTTAGTATCATGGTAAGTCGTGGGTCAGATATGAATGTTTCTATCATGGTAGGTCGTGGGTCAGATATGAATGTTTGTATAGGTAAGTCGTGGGTCAGATATGAATGTTTGTATCATGGTAAGACGTGGGTCAGATATGAATGTTTGTATCATGGTAAGTCGTGGGTCAGATATGAATGTTAGTATCATGGTAAGTCGTGGGTCGGATATGAATGTTTGTATCATGGTAAGTCGTGGGTCAGATATGAATGTTTGTATAGGTAAGTCGTGGGTCAGATATGAATGTTAGTATCATGGTAAGTCGTGGGTCAGATATGAATGTTTGTATCATGGTAAGACGTGGGTCAGATATGAATGTTTGTATAGGTAAGTCGTGGGTCAGATATGAATGTTTGTATCATGGTAAGTCGTGGGTCGGATATGAATGTTTGTATCATGGTAAGTCGTGGGTCAGATATGAATGTTTGTATAGGTAAGTCGTGGGTCAGATATGAATGTTTGTATCATGGTAAGTCGTGGGTCAGATATGAATGTTTGTATAGGTAAGTCGTGGGTCAGATATGAATGTTTGTATCATGGTAAATCGTGGGTCAGATATGAATGTTTGTATCATGGTAAATCGTGGGTCAGATATGAATGTTTGTATCATGGTAAGACGTGGGTCAGATATGAATGTTTCTATCAAGGTAAGTCGTGGGTCAGATATGAATGTTTGTATAGGTAAGTCGTGGGTCAGATATGAATGTTAGTATCATGGTAAGTCGTGGGTCAGATATGAATGTTTGTATCATGGTAAGTCGTGGGTCAGATATGAATGTTTGTATAGGTAAGTCGTGGGTCAGATATGAATGTTTGTATCATGGTAAGTCGTGGGTCAGATATGAATGTTTGTATCATAGTAAGTCGTGGGTCAGATATGAATGTTTGTATCATGGTAAGTCGTGGGTCAGATATGAATGTTAGTATAGGTAAGTCGTGGGTCAGATATGAATGTTTGTATCATGGTAAGTCGTGGGTCAGATATGAATGTTTGTATAGGTAAGTCGTGGGTCAGATATGAATGTTTGTATCATGGTAAGTCGTGGGTCAGATATGAATGTTTCTATCAAGGTAAGTCGTGGGTCAGATATGAATGTTTGCATAGGTAAGTCGTGGGTCAG